CTCCTCGCTGTTCTTCAAGTCGAGAGGATCCATTTAAGCGTGCTAAATCATATTGCTTCTCGTTCTGCTGGAAATACTACATGTGTTTTCCGGTCCAGCGTTGAGTCGTACAGTTCACCAGCTTCAGGATCATGTTTTTTGGAAATACTGTTTCACGAGTGTGAAATATTGTTGCAGCTTGCGCTTGTTTTCTGGAAGGCCGGTAATCGACTATTCCATGCAGCTGCTCTTCTCCAAAAATACATCATTTATAAGGATATGAAGAAGACATTCAGCATGGAGGAAGCAATGGATCAGGCCACTCGTGTGCTTCTGGCCACATTGTCGGTGCCGGATGGCGCCGATAATCCATCTGATCTGACTCGACATCTGGATATCGAAGAGCAGCATACTGCAAATATGCGGTAACTTTTTCACATTAGTTTGACTCAGATTGTCTTTATTCATTCTCTAGTAAGTGTGTTTTCTGCAGTAGACTCCTCTCAGTGGATACTGTGGCGTGACACCTGGTACCTGTGCTGATTTCCTTGCCTTATTAAATCATTAGGTTCAGCACCTGCATATCTGGTATTGGTGGAAGGCGGCTTATAGAGCTTTTGATTGTTTCCCAGAGACGAAAAAAATAAGAGAAGGGACCATTTTTTTATAGTCTGAAGTTTTGCAAAATTGAGGAGGGCGGGAGGTGGGAAATGTGGAATCTTGAGCAGCTATGCCCTTGAAAGTTGGTTTTGGAGTTATGGCTATGTTTTTTGATTTTTTCGAAATTCAACAGCAGCACCACATGATTGGGACTGGAAAAACAGCATACGGCTTGTTTGAAATCAGAGGTCGCTTTCTCCCGTCTTCTTCCTTCCCGTATCCTCCATTTCTTGCTCCTTACCACTCCCGTCTTCTCCTTCTCCATTCATCCATCTCCTCTTTCCCAGGCTGTGCCCTAGTGCAGACAAACACAAAATCGTTTTAACGGGACTTGTGGGAAGTTAAATAAAATGCGTTTTTTGGTGAAAAGTTTAATGTTTTGCTTTTTTAAAGCACAAATTGCGTCAACGCATGACCACTAGTGCACTTTGAATACTCGTGTATCAGAGTGTTATGCTGGCATGCAAGAGCAGTGTTTTCAAAGGATGTTTCCTGCTGTTGTTTTTGTGGCAGGAATTATTCTCGGAAAATGCACATATATCGAAAGTCTAGCTCTTTGTTCAGTTTCTCAGAAGAAGGGATCTGTCGAGAGTAGTTCAAAAACTGCCGCGTGGCAGCGGCAACTGTCCACTAGTAACTTTGTCATTGATTCCGTTTTTCAAGTTTTGCGTCCTTCACATATAACGATTTGGTGTCCAGAATCACAAAAGCAATAGCGTGGTTTTATCCATTACCTTCGTTCCTAGCCACTTCACTGTGGGAAATTATTGTCAGCGTTTTTCCAGGCTGTTATCCAATCTTCTTCGCTTGCCAATTGCGCCAACACGAGCTGGCATTCTCAGAGAAATAACGCGCTTAAATCTTCCAGATGTTGCCGTGGAGAGTGCACGTAATCTGCATCGGTAAGAGCATCTTTTTGAAATTTATTCATAAAAAGGTTGGACACACTTGCAGCGCGTATGTTTTAGCAAAATGAAGTGAAATTATCGGCGTGTTGTTGGAAGCAAGAAACGTAAACAACGCTTTCAAATATTAGTCATGCTTTCGGGTGAAAAGGACGTAGTCGCATGTATTTAAGTCTCGAGTTGTCTCTAATTGTGATCGAGAATCTCGAAGTCTGAATTGTTTTTAGTTAGCATTAGTGTATTATAATTTACAGTCAGCGATCGTAAGTCACTAATCGTTACTAAAAGCTCGAAATTATGAATTATGATCATCATTTCTGGGCTAGGAATTAAGCGTACTATTGTTTTTGATAAATTTTTTGATTCGAATTTCTGTAAGCAAACGGGGAAAATGAGTTCAGTGGGGGGACAAAATCACAGTCACTGCTTTCGCTTCTTTTCTAGGGTGTATAAGGAGGAGGGGAGAAGAATCAATTTAGGCTCTGCAATTCTGCTTTATACGACGTGCAAGAGGATGTTTGTTTCTTCGGCAAGTGATTTTGTCTG